GTAGTCATGAATGTTTGTCTTCTGTATTATCAAAACTTTCCCTTATTTGAGTCTTTTCAGATTTTCCGTAAAAGAGTTGTTAAAACATCGCCTTTTTCCAAGCTTGTATTCTGTTCCGTCGTTTTGGGCTTTTATTTTATATCGTACACTGATTGACCACTTTTTCTTAGTCCACCTCAGTTTTTATCTATATTTGCTATTGTGGGAAAGTAAAAGCTTCCACGATGCTTCACAACATTGGACAGATAATGGATCCAACAATAGCCGCCTCAACGTCGGCGTCGTCTTCAACAGCGGCTCATCCACAGTCACCTATCCAGCAACAAAATTCGTCAGGTTAATCAATTTAAACTAAATTTAAGCGAGTGTGATGAAAACTGTTGCTAAATTCATCGCCTGTTTTACAAGCCATCTATTCTTGGAGGAGAGTTACTTGAACATGATTGTTTCTCAGTTGTTACGTATTTTTTGACTCTTTTTGAGCTTCATATGTCGAGGTTTTTACGTTTTAGTTGCAACAAATACTGGCATTCCTCGACCACCAGTACCAAATAGCATTGAAAGCGCGCCACCACCTACACCTACTGTTTCTCAAGCACCTCCTGTGAAACGAAGAGAAATTTACAGGTACACTTCAAGTAGGCCTTTATTTGCTTCTGACTGGTCGTCGAAGACACATCCTGATAAAAGATGGCGTGTTGCAGTTGGAACTTTTGTTGAGGACAAACCTCAAGATAACAAGGTCAGTTTTTACTTTGTTACTGTCGGGAAAGACGCCAGAGATTTGTTGGATGTTCAACTGTTTTTTTTTTTTTTTTTGAAACTATAAGTTTCTGTAGGCTTGTTCATTTATTATTTTTTAGGTGCACATCATTCAGCTTGATGAGCAACAAGGTGATCTGGTAGAACGCTGTTCTTTTGAACACTTTTTCCCACCCAACTGCATCCGTTGGATACCGGACCCAGTTAATATTCTTAACTTTCTTTGTCTTTGAAGTATTTGTTGCTAAGTGACTAGCATTCTTTAATTCTTGAATTTATGGCTCTATTTTAATGGAATACATCTTATTCTTAAAAGGAAGAGTTTACTTGAAGAAGAAATCTGTCTTGTTACGCACGTATTAAAATTTATTTTTATAGCAAAATCTTTACCCCGATATACTTGCAACGAGTTGCGAAGTTCTAAGAATATATCGAGTTGACAATGGCGTTCAACAGGAATGTGTTTTGAATAATGTCAGCATTTAAATTTTCCTGACTGAATGGAGACTTTTCGACCAGCAGTGCCTATAGCTATATTTCTTTTATAACCAGGAAGGGAAAGTCAGCATGGTTTGGTAGATGAAATGTGGTGTCAGTTCGTGATTTAATTTTTATTTTGTTTTCAGAAACAAGCAGCTAATTATTCGGGTCCTTTAACTAGTTTTGATTGGAATGATGTAGATCCATCCCTTATTGGCACAGCATCTATTGACATGAGTTGTACTATTTGGCAAATTGAGGTAGTTAGAGTTTCTTGTGTTGGAAATAATTGTTTGAAGCAGACTAAGTCTCTGGTCCAGGTTATTTCGTTGTATTCTTTGCTCTGATTTTTAAGACTGGACAGTCAATTTCTAAAACAAAAAGGACAACTGGCAATGTTAAAACACAGCTGATTGCTCATGATAAGCCCGTGCATGATATCGGTTTCTCAAAAATTGGAAATGGACGGGACAATTTTGCTACAGTGGGTGAGACTTATTTTTTACATTTGCTTTTATTTTCCATCACTAAACCAAAAACCATGAAAGTCAAACCCGTAAGATTTGAATTTTTTTTTAATTTTGACGTATCTTTTGAAAAATTCCCAGTGTCGGTCAAATATTTCAGGAGCTGATGGTAGTGCGCGGCTGTTTGATTTGCGTAATTTACAACATTCGACTATAGTTTACGAAGACCCGCTGAGAACTCCTTTGATGCGTTTAGCATGGAATAAGCAAGACAGTAATTACCTTGCGACGTTTGCTGAATACTCTGTGGAAGTAAAAGCTATCCATTTCTTTATTCGTATTTTCATTTCATTGGTTGTATTAAGGTTTTAGGGAGGTTTTTCTTGGATTACTCATTTGTTATACTTTTGCTGTTTTTAGTTTCTCGGGTAAATTAAAGTTTTGCCACACTTTTCCTTTTTTTGAAGTAAATACGCGATTCGCTCTACAAAAAGTTCGCGAACCTTAATTTCTGAAATTATTCATTTTGGAAATGCTGATATTGTATTTTTATTTGAAACTTTGTTTAAGGTGGTTATTATTGATATCAGGGTTCCTTGTAGTCCCGTTGCTCGTCTCAGAAATCATCGTGGATGTATAAATGCTTTAACATGGGCACCACACTCTGGTTACCATATCTGCACTGCTGGTAAACAATAGGACTATGGTTTTTCTTTCTTTTATTTTTTCATATTTATTTATTTATTATTTATTTTTTGTATTTATTACCTGTTCTATGTAATTTTCGTTCTTTGCTTGTCTTGTAAAAATAGTTTTTATTACTTAATTTCTATACAGGTCTTATGGGGTTTATGAATGTTGAGATACCGTCTTAAAATAGCTTGATTCTGTGTTTACTTCTCGAAATTAATCTTTGCAATCTTTAGCGGACGATCGGCAAGCATTAATTTGGGATCTCTCTAGCGTTCCACGTCCGGTGGACGACCCTATATTGGCTTATCAGGCTGGAGGAGAGGTGCGGTTTGGCAATGGATTTCAACTTTTTTTTTCATTTTTATATTCATGATGTATACACCCCATTATTTTATTCATGCTCAGTCGTAACATAACCACATCGTTAAGTTATATGAATTGGGGACGCTGTACAATATTTTCATTTTTTCTGTAGTACAAATTGGCGGGGTCTTTCTTCTTACTTTTTTACGAGGTGTTCAGGGACGATCTTATTAAATTTTTACTTTGAATTCTAGCTTGCCAATTTTTGGTGTTGCTGTTGCCTTCAGTAGAATTTATTGATTTAATACTATTTTTTTAGGTCAATCAAGTTCACTGGTCTGCTGCTCATAGTGACTGGATTTCTATATGCTTTGACAATTATCTTGAAATTTTACGTGTCTAATTCTGTCTTTAAAAGATTGTTTCACTTCTTTTGTTTACTAGCATAACACGTCACAAGTTCTAAATGAGCAGTTTTTAGTATTGTATTTATTGTTGTTTGTTTGCTTTTTTGTGGATTTCAGGGTTTGATCTCATTGCTTCGTTTACATTACAACTTTTGGCTATGAGGGGAAGAGACAGGTTGTGGACTGTTTAAAATTTCGCGTTCTTCTCACTTTTGTTTTATCTTTAAATTGACATATCGCCGCTAAAATGCGACAAGAGCAAAATTTTATTATATTTGCGAAATTTATATGAATTTTGAGGTGTTAATTAGTTAAATTTTTTCTGTAGAATTACTAAATATTTTTATTGTTGATGGACTTATTTCCTGTGCTTTCGTCGTACTTTTTTGGATTACATGTATGTGCTACACTTTTTGTGATTTTTTGAAAACGGCATTATGTTGTTAACTGCTTTAAATTTTTAGTTTTGTTGATCTATTTTACCAGTGTTTCAATGGGGATTTTCATTGTAGCACTGCGGTCAGTGGTTTCTTCTTAAAGCTCTTCAAGTTTATTTCACTTTATTTTTGGGTGTCCTGTAAAGTCTGTTCGAGATAAGTTTTTTTTTTTATTTTATTGACTTATTGTAAAATTTTTTGAAAGCTCTGATTGCATTTATGTTCTTTTCCTTTTTTTTTTCTTTTGCTTTTTCTCACTGGTCTTTGGTATTTTTAGTCTAACTTTATCGGATCTGCTTGGTTTTTATGCACAGAAAGTTTTTCGTGCAACTGCAGTTGTAATAAAGGCTTTCATCAATGTTGTTCATGTTTTGTCTTTGTAATTTTTTCAAGTGACTATTTTTGGTCTCATAACCATTTAGTGTTTATATAGTCTTTGGCTTCCAAACTTTTTTACGTTCGACTTATTCTCTTGATTAGCTGCGAGGAATCTTTGGATGCAGACTTAACAGTTTCTTTTTTTGGCATTGAGTGAAATATCATAGGTGATTTAGTCTGTGACAGCATGTTATGGGTGGCTTGCGCACTTCTAGTTTAGTGCAGTGGTTGGTCTAAATTGTGTTGGTTGTTGCCGTTCAGCTGAATGCGCTAGTTCAGGTTTTAATATTCTGTAGTTATGATTTTTTAGGTCACACACTAAATATTGGGTGGCCTAGGAAGGAGCCTAGTCATTATGGTTATTTCATCATACTGAGGAGTAGCTAATGGTTGTAACGGGTAAGTCCAGTTTTGTCGCTGGAATGCTTAGTAAATGATATTTTTATTTCTGTAGTGTGATGCTGCTGTAAATTTTTGACTATTAGAGGATTTCCTTTAAACTTTGCTATGGTGTAGTTCCGTTCGGTTACCAGAGTTTGCTTGTTGCACTTTCTTTGCTTGTTTTGTTGCTTTTATTTTGTTTTGTCGATATGTAACACTGGAAAAAGAATGTTTGTCAGAAAATTGTTTCAAGAAAAAAAACTGGCGTTCAGTGCTGGTTTATTCGTAGTAGTGCTTTTTAAATCTGGTTTACAATATCATGGGTGGATTGTTATGGGTAAAATTTATAATAACTGTTTTTTGCCTGCATCAACAGTGAACTGCAGAGCGGTGAGGGAAGTTATGACCAATTTGCCTGTTTCAAACCTTTCGTTGCAACAACATCGCAGTTTCATGGATGAGCACAGCAGTTTACAACGTGCTTTTGCAAGCAACCAGTCGCTACAACGTTTTGGTGAGCAAGAGGGATTTCACGTTGGCCACAGTGCACAAGGTTACATTAAAAGTTCGTTACTAATTGCTGTTGACTAGTTAGGATTTTTGGATTTTTTTTCCTTTAAATTTTTAGTTTTGCTCAAGAATTATTTTTACTGGGAACTTGACTTTATTTTTTTAAGTATCAATTTGTTATTCGCGAATACAGAGTAGTTATAGCTAGTGTTATTGCAGCAGAGGAGGCCAACACAAAAAGAAAAGAAATATACCGTTATGAAGCACCTTACACACTATATGCAACTGGTTGGTCTCAAAATCCAGATCCAGATAAGAAGTTTCGCCTAGCAACAGCAAGTTTTATTGAAGAGTACAACAATAAGGCAAGTTCTAGTCTTTTGGAACTTTCCAGAAGTTTTTAAGGTTTTAAATGAATTAGAAAGCAGAAATTCAAATTCCTTCCAAATTATGCTTTTCTATTAACGGGCATTTAAACACCTAGCCTTGATTGTTTTATGTCGGAAACATTCTTTTCACTGTTATCTACCTGTTTTTCTTTTTCTAGGTTTCTGTCTTACGTCTAGATGAAGTTGCTGGCGAGTTTATTCACCAAGGGACATTCGATCATCCTTATCCTGCAACAAAAATAATGTGGATTCCAGATACAGTAAGTTTTTTGTCGTTAATTTCTCACTATTTCTTATTTGAATTTGTACTGTATTTTTTCTAGAAAGGGACTTATCCAGATTTACTTGGTACAACGGGTGATTATTTACGACTCTGGCGAGTAGGAGGAGAAAACGGAGTTCATGTTGAAGCTCTCTTTAATAATGTAAGTTAGCTTTGCGAATGAGCAGTTACAGTCTCTTAGAAAATATTAATTTTATCCATTTTTCATCTTATATTGTCTCATTACTGATCGTTATTCGTTATTCACTTAATAAGGTATTAGAATCTTGAAATCTGAAGTATTTTCATTTTTAGATTGTTACGAGTTGTTTGGAAAGTTTATTAAAATTTTTACTTTATTACTTTCAACTCTTAGATATTTTTAAAGACTTTATTGTGCTGTTGTAGAACAAGAGCAGCGAGTACTGTGCTCCGTTAACATCCTTCGATTGGAATGATGTAGATCTGTCATTAATTGGCACCTCCAGTATTGACACTACTTGTACCGTTTGGCAAATTGAGGTTTATTGAAAACTTTTTGTTATTTCCGTAGTATTTAAGAGGAATGTGGTTTTTCTCACCTATCTGGTACTGATCGGGTTTTTTGGCATAGTGTAATAAATTATTTTGAACTAGTTCGTTATGTGCGCGCTTTTTAATTGTTTCTCTACATGTCTATCTCTGTTCCAGTGGCTACTAATCTTTTTTTTTGCAAAAGACACTTTACTTTAAAGTTGTTAAATTTTTAACTCTGTTCCAGACTGGTCAAGTAATTGGAACTACGCCAAAGCCGACTGAAGGAAGTGTTAAGACACAGCTTATAGCTCACGACAAGGAAGTTTTTGATATTGGCTTTACAAGAATGGCCAGCGGACGTGAAATTTTTGCAAGTGTTGGTGGGGTTTAACTGTATTCATACTACTTTTCTTTTTTTGAGTTTCATGCATGTCACTGATTGCAAAAAATTTGGATTCGCGGATATTTGAAGGTGCCGACGGTAGTGTGCGAATGTTTGATCTAAGGCATTTGGAACATTCGACAATAATTTATGAGGAACCAACTCGATCTCCTCTTCTTCGACTTGTTTGTAATAAGCAAGATCATAATTATATCGCAACAGTGGCTCAGAATTCAAATGAGGTATTAGTTCTTAATTGTCTCTTTTAGGTTTTTTGTTGAGTCATTACTTTAGATATTCGAAATTGATAGAACTACTGACCGGTAAGGAACGATTAGGAAGGCTCATTTGTTGTTGGTTTACGAAGGACTGGAAATGGATAGTCTTAGTTCACTAAGTTATGTATGCTATTTTCTTGATGCACATGTTTCTTACTTTAAGGTGATTATACTGGATGTCAGAATTCCTTCTTCGCCGGTAGCAAAGCTTAACAATCATCGAGCTCAGGTAAATGGTATGGCCTGGGCTCCTCATTCTTCTTGTCACATTTGCACTGCTGGTATATGTATATATATATATATATATAT